AGCTAACCATATGCTGTCTTCAGGAGACTCATCTGAGCTACAAAGACAAAGTTAGACTCAAAGTGAAAAGGCATAAAATGATTCTCCAAGCAAATGGCATCAACAGAAAAGCAGGTATAGCCATACTTCTAACAAAATAGATTTCAAGATACAAAAGGTAACGAGATAAGGATGGACGTTTTAAAATGATACAGGAGACAGTACATCAGGAAGCCATAACATTTCTCAATATACATGCACCCAGTTGGGGAGTACTGAAATATATAAAGCAACTACTAACAGAACAAAAGGGAGAAACTGAAAAATAAAACAAAACGAAACAAAACACAATCATAGTAGGGGGATCTACATACGCCATTGACAGCTATATAAAGATCATCCAAACAGAAAAGGTACATAACTGACATTTACAGAACCCTCCATCCTAGAACACCAGATTGTACTTTCTTTTCTAGTGCACATGGAACAATCTCAAGGATGGACCATATGTAGGAACACAAAATAAGCCTCAACAAATTTAAGAATGGTATCAAAGCAAGCATATTCTCCAACTCCAATGCTGTGAAATTAGAAATCAACTTCAGAAAGGAAGTGGGGGAAAAAAACACACAAATATGTGGATATTAAACATGCTACTAAAAAATGACTGTGTCAAAAAAGAAAGAAAAGGTGAAATCAAAAGAGACATATGAGAGTGACAATACAACATATTAAAACGTTTGGGATGCAGTGGAGGCAGTAATAAGAGGGAAGTTTATATAATTATATGCCTATCTTAAGAAACAAGAAAAATCCTAAGTATAAAACCTAACATTACACCTTAAAGAACTAGAAAAAGAACAAAAGCAGCCCAAAGTCAGCAGAAAGAAATAATAAACAGAATTAAATAAGAAAAAGATTATATAAATAATTAACACAACAGAGTTGGTTCAATGAAAAATTAATAAACTTGACAAACCTCTGACTAGACTAAGGAAAAAAGAAAGTAAAGATGCAAATAAACAAATTCAGAAATGAAAGAGAAATTACCACAGACATCACATAAATACAAAGGATCCTACCAGAATACCATGAAAGCCTATATGTCACCAAATTCAATAACCTAGAAGGAATGGATAAGTTCCTAGGAATATATAACCCTCCTAGACTGTATCATAAAGAACTGCAAAATCAAAAGTCACTGATCAACAAGAAATTGAAACAACCATTAAAAACCTCTCAAGAAGTAAGTCCAGGACCAGATGACTTCTGTAGTAAATTCTAACAAACATTCAAAGAAGATTTAATATCTATCCTTCTCAAACGATTCCAAATTTGAAAAAGGAGAAACACTTCCTGACACATTTTATGAGGCCAATAAAACCCTGATACCAAAATCTGGCAAGGATAACACACACACACACACACACACACACACACACACACACACAATGTAGACCAATATCTCCGATGAATACAGATGCAAAAATCCTAAACAGAATATTAGCAAATTGAGTAGAACAATATATTAAAAAATAACACATCATGATCAAGTGGCATTAATTCCAGCAGTATATATCTGAGATTCCATCACCCTGGCTAAAACTGTTCACCCTATCCTATCAAACTTTTGGATCCACCCAAGCTGCTTCCAGTGGCATTTCCATACAAATGGCCTGTCTAGGCTCATGCTGCAGACTCTCCTCAAGTCTCTCTAATATCCACAAACCCCTAACAAGTAGTATCTGGCCTCTGTGTACCCCTGTACTACTTTGCAAGCAACCCCAAGGCTGACACTAGCTGCAGCCAATCTCAGTTCTCAGCTTAGCCTGTCCTGGGCCCCTCCCAGCACAGTTCAAGTGGTACTCATCTGCAGATTGCTTTGTAAGTCATGTCTGGTGGCCCTGGGCAGGGCACAGGAAGCAGCTCGCCTTGGCCTAAACCTCCCCTGAGTGCACTGCTTCAGACCAAGCCAGAGCAATACCCAACCTCCTCCATAAGCAACAAATTCAAGGGATGGACTTGGCAAATGGCAAAGCCCTGCTGAAGCAAGTCTTGCTCTATGGGGTTGGCCCTTGACCAGTAGCTTCCCTGCTGTAGTTATGGATGGTTGTTGCACCCATTGGCTGGGGTGGTGCGGGGATGCTCAGTCCATTCCACTGATATGCATATAGCAATTAAAGCTGAACTACAACAGAAGGGTGCACATAATCCAAATGGTGGGTGTACCTGGAGTGCCCTTCTTGGGAGAAGGGAAGGCTACACCACTGAGTCCCACAGGGCACCTGCTACTATTCAAGGCCACTCTACCAAGCCCAGGAGACATAGCAGGTCTACCTAATACATAGAAATACACCAAAGCAGCCAGTATGAGGCGACAAAGAATCATATCCCAAATGAAAGGACAGGACAAAATCCAAGAAAAAGAACTAAACAAAATGGAGACCTCAAGCAATCTACTAGATGCAGAGTTCAAAATACTGGTTATAAGGATGTTCAATCAATTTAGGGGAAGAATAGATCAACTCAGTGAGAACTTCAAAAAAGTGATAGGAAACATAAAAAAGGAGAAAATGTCCTGGTTGGTGTAGCTCAGTGGATGGAGCTCAGGCTGTAAGCCAAAGGGTTGCTGGTTCGATTCCCAGTCAGGGCACATGCCTGGGTTGCAGGTCAGGTCACCAGTGGGGGCCATGTGAGAGGCAACCGCACACTGATGTTTCTCTCCATCTCTTTCTCTCTCCCCTCCCTCTCTAAATAAATAAATAAATAATCTTAAATAAATTAATTAATTAAATTTAAAAAATAAAAAAGGAGGAAACATACAGAACTAGTCGGAAATGAGGACTGCAATAACTGAAAGGAAGAATACACTAGAAGGAATCAACAGTAGATTAGATGAATCAAAGGATCAAATCAGTGATATGGAAGATAAGGTAGCAGAAAACACACAATCACAACAGGAAAAGAAAAATGAATTTTAAAAAATTATTTAAGGGGCTGCTGGGAAAACATCAAGCATACTGACATTCATATCATGTGAATGCTGAAAGGAGAAGAAAAAAAGCAAGGAATCAAAAACCTATTTGAAAAAATAATGACTGAAACATTCTTAAATTGATGAAGGAAATAGACAAACAAGTCTATGTAGCACAGAGAGTCCTTAATGACATGAACCCAAACAGGTCACACTAAGATACAACATCACAAAAAAGCTACAGGTTAAAAACAAGGAGAGAATTTTAAAAGCATCAAGAGAAAAGCAGATAGTTACCTACAAAGGGAGCTCCCATAAGACTGATTTCTCAATAGAAATTTTGCAGGCCAGAATGGAGTGGCATAAAATATTCAAAATGATGAAAAGCAAGGACCTATAACCAAGATTTTTCTGCTGAGCAAGGCTACCATTTAAAATGGAAGAACATATAAGGAGATTCCCTGGCAAGAAAAATCTAAAAGAGTTCATTATCACCTAACCAGTATTACAAGAAATGTTAAAGGGTCTTTTTAAAGAAGAAATAAAAATAAAAATATGAAAAATAAAATGGCAATAAATGTATATCTATCAATAATTACTTTATTTATTTTTTAAGCATTTTTTATAGATTTTATTTATTTTTATTTATTTTTAGGGAGGGAAGGAAGAGAGAGAGAGAGAGAGAGAGAGAGAGAGAGAGAGAGAAACATCAATGTGCGGTTATTGGGGGTTATGGCCTGCAAACCAGGAATGTACCCTGGCTGGGAATCGAACCTGGGACACTTTGGTTCCCAGCCTGCGCTCAATCCACTGAGCTATGCCAGCCAGGGCTAACAATTACTTTAAATACAAATGGACTACATACTCCAACCAAGACACAGGATGGCCAAATAGATATGAAAGCAAGAAACTCACTTCAGATCACATGACACACAAAGATTAAAAGTAAAGGGATGGAAACGTCATGGAATATGGAAAAAACAACAACACTAGGATAGAAATACTTACACCAGACAAAACAGACTTTAATACAAAGGCTGTAACAAGAGACAAAGAAGGATCTTTGTCCAAAGACCTTCTCCAAAGAAACACAAAACACTAGTTTGAAAAGACACATGCATTTGTATGTTCATTGCAAAATTATTTACAACAACCAAGTCATGGAAGTAGCCTAAATGCCTATCAATAGAAAAATGAATAAAGAAGTGGTACACATATACAATGGAGTATTAGTTGGCCCTAAAAAAATGAAATTACCCCATTAGTGAGAGCATGTCTAGACCTGAGTGAAATCACAAGTCAGAGATAACATACTACATGATTTCACTCACATGCAGAATCTAAAGAAGAAAATAAACCAAACAGAAACAGACTCATATATATAAAGAATATTTTTTCAGTTGCCAGATGTGAGGTGGGTTGGGGGTCTGGGTGGAAAAGGGAAAGGGACTAAGAAGCACAAATTGGTAATTACAAAATAATCATGGTGATGGAAAGTACAGCATAGGAAATACAGTCCGTACTATTGTGATAACTATGTATGATGCCAAATGGGTACTAGACTCACTGGGGTGATAATTTTGTAAGTTGTACAAATGTCTAGTCACCAGGTTGTATACTGAATCTAGTATGACATTATATATCAAACATTTAAAAAGTATTAAAAAATAATAGTAACGTCCTGGCTGGTGTGGCTCAGTGGATTGAGTGCAGGTCTGTGGATCAAAGGGTCCCAGGTTCGATTCCTAGTCTGGGGGCATGTCTGGGCTGTGGGCCAGGTCCTCACTAGGGGCTCACGAGAGGCAACCACACATTGATGTTTCTCTCCCTCCCTTCCCCTATCTAAAAATAAATAAATAATTAATAATAATGGTGATAAAAATCAGAGGTCTAAATAATATTCAGTTCAATAGAACACAATGAAACATACATTAGAAAATTGTATGGCTTTAAAGTGGTTTTCTCTCACTTCTTATGCCATGAGCTTATATAAAACACTTAGAGTTATAAATTATTCGAGGTTCTACAAATTCATTAAGAGACTTACCTCTTCTTTTCCTAATGATACCAGAAATTCTTCATTCAGTGGAAGTACTACAGAAACAAAAAAACAAACTTATACATATGCTAAGTTAACTTAGTCAAAAATCAAGATTTTGACTTTTTGGTTTCTCAGATACCCTTTTCCCTTCCCACTTAATGTTTGAAATATGTGCAGTTTATGAAATTATTTTTACATAGGAACTTTATATACAATATATAACCAACATATATTTTATACAAATGGGATATGCATTTTGTTTCTTAGTGCCTTTATTTTGTTTCCCTAATCCTTCGAACTCAAAAGTAATAATTTCTAATGTGTTCCTTCTGTAGTCCTATGATCTTACTCATATATACATATATGTTTACATATATATCTATATACATACATGCAAAGGTTATTAATTTTGTCATTGCTGGTTTTACAAGAATGGGATATCATATATATTATTCTTATCTTACTTTCACTCAACAAAACCCTCATTTCTCTAGTGTAAATCTGATTCATAATTTTAAATTGCTGCACAAGCCCTGGCTGGTATGGCTCAATGGGTTGAGTGCCAGCCTGTGAACTAAAATGTCATGGGTTTGACCCCAGTCAGGACACATGGCAAAGTTGCAGGCCAGGTCCCCGGTTGGGGGTGTGTGAGAGGCAACCTATCAATATACCTCTTGCACACCGAAGTTTCTCTACCTTTCTCCCTCCCTTCCCTTATCTCTAAAAAAGTAACTAAATAAAATCTTAATAAATAAATTGTTGCACAATATTCTATAGGGTGAATATAACATAATGTATCGCGTGATTTTGATATTAACTGAGCATTAATTTTGCACCTAGTTTTTATCCATGAAAAAAAAATGATGCAATAAGCATTCTTTTATTTATGTCTTTCTGTATTGGTATTTTCATTTCTGTGGGATAGATTTCCAGACATGGAATTTCACATACACAAAAAAGTGTATTTTGAATTTTAATATAGTTTGCCACATTATTTTCTAAAAAGTTCCATGAGCAATGAATAAAAAACAGCAAATGATATTATAAACTTGTTTAAAACTTTTGCCAGTCTGATAAGTATAAACTATTATTTCATTTAAATTGTTGGCAAAGTTAAATCCTTATACTTAGAAGAGTTCAACCTTTATACTTAAAAAAATACCTTTCTTAATAAAGTGCTATTTAAAATTTCTCAAGTGATATGCTACTGAAAATTTCTAAGTTATCTGTTATCTTAGAGGGTCTTCTAAATAGTCAAGAGTTTCCTATATGTGCTTCCTAGGCCCTGTATTAGGACTGATACAAGCAGCCACCAGGTGTACTAAATCATTTCAATAAATGTAATGAGGAGTCTAAGAACATAAAGTTTTAAAATCTCCCTCTTAGTGTAACCAAGAGTAGCTTTTCCATATCCATTCAAACAATCATTTCAACCAATACAACATGGCAGGTTCTAAGAATACAAAGATTTTCTATATTTTATTTATTTTATTATTTTTAAAGATCTTATTTATCTATTTTTACAGAGTGGGGAAGGTAGGGAGAGAGAGAGGGAGAGAGACATAGATGTGCACCTCCCTGCATGCCCCCAACCAGGGACCTGGCATGCCACCCAGGCCTGTGTCCTGACAGGGAACCCTTCAGTTTGCAGGATGATGTCCCATCACTGGGCCACACCAGTCAGGGCACAAAGAGTTTTAAAGTCCTTCCAGTGTGACAGCCTATTAAACTAGCTAGGTGGGTATTTAACTAATAAGGTAGCCTGTGTGTTCAGTGTTATCAGTACCAAGTATATATGTCAGGGATGATGATAATAAGAAAAATAAACATTAAAAAGTTTCCCGATACATAGCATCAAAAAGAATAAAATGCCTGGGAAAAAAACTTACCTGTGAAGGAAAAAACTTGTGGGCTAAAAACTACAAAACGTTGCCAAAAGAAGTTAAAGACACCAAGAAATAGAAACACATTCCATGTTCATGGATTAGAATATATAATATTACTAGGATGTCAATATGAACCAAAGCAACTTAACAGTTTAATGTAATCCCTATCAAAATCCCAGTAAATTGCCTTATAGAAATAGAAAAGTCCATCTTGAAGTTCACATGAAATATCTCAAAGAGCCAAAACAATCTTCAAAAAGAACAAAGTTAGAGGTTTCACATGCCCTAATTTCCGTCTACACAGCTACAGTAATCAAAACAGTGCTACTGGCATGGAGAAGACACAGAGACCAGTAGAATGAGCAAAACAGAGTGCTGAGCAACAAATCCTCACTGTATGGGCAAAAGGTTTTTGAGGAGGGTGCTATGATAATGAGGACAGGGAGAGTTTCCTTAACAAATCCTATTGGAAAACTAGGTAATACACATGCAAAAGAATAAAGTCAGACCTTTAACTTTCCTTTAAATTGAAAATTTCTACAATTAACTAAAAAACACTCAACCGAGAAGTAAAAAGTGTATTATAATAAACTGATGGATTAGGAATGAAGGCCTAAAGTAAATCTGTAGAAATAGGGTTCAATATTTTACAACTGGCTCTATGTGAAATATAAAAGAATTCAGAAGTACTCAAATTTATGACAGGTCAAATAGAGTCCATTCAATGGGTCAGGGAATGAAGACCAGTTCATGAATCTAAGGTACTACAAAATATTTTGGAAAAGATATCTAGAAGCTAGAAAGAGATATAAGTGTGACATTACAGTGAAATCTGGTTTGGGAATCTAGTTTTGGAAACTGTTATGGAAATTGTGTTATCCCTTACCCTTCCCAGTTCAAATGTTGAAGTCCTAATCCCCAGTACCTCAGAATGTGACTATATTTGTAATTGGGTCCTTAAAAAGATAATTAGGTTAAAATGAGGTCATATATAAAAAGATTAGGATACACAGACAGATGGCCATGTTGTAGATGGCAATCTGCAACCCAAAAAGGGAGACCACAGAAGAACACAACACCTTGATCTTGGACTTCTAGACCACAGAACTGTGAGGAAATAAAGTTCTGCTACTTACAAACAAAATGAAACAAAACCCAGTCCATGGTACTTTGAGATAGCAGACCTAGTAACCTTATATAGGCGTCATTAATATGATATAACACATAAAAACAGGAGCAGAAAATATAATGCTGGAATAGCATTTAGAATAAGAAGTGATAAGAGCTGACAACAGTCCTCTGGAGAACACCAACATATGAAAGGCAGAGTATGAGCAGCTTCTGAGATACTCAACATAATGCTCAGAAGGCAAAAGGATATACAGTTATGCAAATTAAAATCACAATTGCATATATGCCTATCAAAAGTGCTAAAATAAAAAAGACTACTATATGGTGGTGAGAATGTGGAACAATGGTAGACATTTGGCATGGATATAGTAATTACAACCAAGAATGCAGATGAAATTGTCTGGGAAGAGAATGAAGAGAAACCCCCCCATAAACTGGAATAGAGAATGTTAAGCTTACAGAGGAGACTAAGAAGGAAAATGGGGGGAGCTAAAGGAAAGGAGATAGAATCACCAGAAAGAGGAAGGGAGACATATATAGAAAAAGAGGGTGCAATACATACAGAATATTATACACAAGCATATACAGCATAGAGAAATGTAGGCTTTTATAACAAAAAGACATCTCCTCGTTGGATGTTTTAACAAGATTTTTAAGCAATCTTCTATTTCTCAACTAAAGGCAAACATACAGTTGGTCTTAGCTTGACAAATCAAAAGACAATACACAATCTGTGTTTCCTGTACATAAATCAGTTTCTAAAATACTTTTCCACTAGGTAAGTTTCATTCATTAAGAAGCAAATTACAGCCCTGGGTGGTGTGGCTCAGTGGACTGAGCGCTGAACTGTGAACCAAAGGGTTATAGGTTGGATTTCCAGTCTAGGGCACATGCTTGGATTGTGGGTCAGGTTCCCAGTTGGGGGCACACGAGAGGCAACCACACATTAGTGTTTCTCTCCCCCGCTCCTTCCTTTCCTCTTTCTAAAAATAAACAAATAAAATCTTAAAAAAAAGATTAAAAAAAAGAAGGCTAAATGGATCTTGTAATTCTTCTTACTATCATTAAATTAACTTATAATTTGTTTATGAAAATATCAACTTTTCTAAAAATAAGAATCTTACTTTCAGGAGTTTCTTTCTGCCATTGACTGAGTTCAGCAGTTAAACATTTCATTTGCATAATTAATAATGACAGCTATAAAAAAGAACAAGAGAATAAAACAAAATCATTTCTTGTAGAATATTCATAGTTACTCATAAATGAACATGTAGACATTTATACTTTAATACAAAGTCTTAGCATAAATGGCTAACATAGTCATCTAAACTATAAAAAATGATCACTCCAAACAGAATTCTGCTTTAAATCACACCAAGTATAGCTCATAAATTGCCAGTTATACCAGTGATATATTATTAAAAAATGATCACTTCTATTTCACCCCTTAATCTAAAAAAAAACCTAATTACATTAAGTTTATTCCCTAAATTAATATTTATTTAAAAAATAATAAGTAGCCTTGGCTGGGTGACTCAGTTGCTTAGAGCACCATCCTGTATACCAAAAGGTTGTGGGTTCCATCCCCAGTCAGGGCACATACCTAGGTTGCAGGCTCAAACGCCAGTCAGGGCATATACAGGAGGCAACTGATTGATGTTTCTCTCTCACATTTTTTTCTCTCTCTCTCTCTCTCTCTCTCTCTCTCTCTCTCTCTCTCTCAAATAAATAAATATATCCTTGAGTGAGGATTAAAAAATGTTATTTCTTGCCAACATTTTTTAGACAAATTTGCATTAAAGATGCTCTTTTTTCTCTCCAGGCACTTTCAGAAAAATTGCAACTGTTTTCAGTTGAGTAGCAAAAAATAACTTTAAATACATATATAGAGACAATAAGACTGGTTCCACAAGCCACACATAAAAACCAATTTTGCTACACAATAGTTTTCAATTTGTACACCTCTCTAGCCAAAGATAAATTAAGATGAATATGTTTCTAATATTAGGTAGTAGCAATCATTATAGTTTTGATAATTACAAATCTGTGTGGTCTAATCTGGCAACAAAGTTCAAGTCTATGCATGCTTAAAGTTAAATTTCAGGACTTTTTTTTATCTCTTCTATATATTTCTTACTAGTACCCAAACATAAAAAAAATTTCACATTTCAAAAATGCAGTGAGTATTACTATAAAGTAATTAGTATTACTAATTACTTTAGTGACTGTTTACACTAAAAGAACACCAACTATTGTTTTTTTAAACAGATTTTTATGATACAGAGCAGGTAACTCAAACACCCTGCTCTGTATTGTAACACTGCCTATTGATTGGTCAACAGTCAGAGGTTAAAAAGCAACAAAACTAGTCTCTTTGAAAACTTTATATAAGTATATACAAATACATTTGCAGGTATTTAAATTTTTTACCAAAGGAAAGTTCCACATTCTTTTCTTATACATAATTAAATAAGAATCTGAAAAAGCTTTTTGTTAACTAGAAATTAATTCATAAATGTTAATTATTATTATTACTATTATTATAATTAAAATATATAAAATTACCAAATATTCATTTTCACCTATGATAAACCCCAGCAATTTCATACAGTTCATACTATATTCATGAAACACAGCACTTATGCCACCAAAGCCCAGCTAAGACACTCAAATTATTTCTGATCCTGCTATAAGATTAAACAACCCTTTCTAAAACAAAAATATAACAGTAGTATTTCTAAAGTCAGAACTTTGGGCAATCCTGCCATTTTCTCATTTAAAATATCTAACTTCTTGCTTTAGAAAATGAACTGAGTTTTAAAATTGAAATTTTTAAGTTTAATAGATGTACAGGAAAGAGTTAACAAAGCATGCCCTAAGATTACCCTTAAAGGCCTGCTTGCAAGGTGGACATCTGAGAGTTTGGATTTTGAGATGATTCATTCCTACCAACCTAATTGATAAGAGTGGCTCACTATGCCTAAAATGTGCAAAGAATATGACTTAGCTAGTACACCCGCTCTCCTTCTGAGAGTTAGCTATTTTTGTAACTGCTAGGGAGAGGATCTTTAAGTGACTAGCACCCACAAATAACCTTAGGCATTGAGTCTCTAATGAGGTTCCTTGGTAGACAATTTCACAAGTGCCACAAATCACTGGAGGAATTTAGCATGTCTGTGTGACTCCACTGGAACACAATCCTGAAAGCTCGTGCCCGGTTTCCTCTGGACCTCAGCCCATGGTCTTTTTTCCTTTACCGATTTTACTCTATATCCTTTCAATGTTATAAACCTCAGCCAGTAGCTTCATTGTATAATGAGCCCTGTGAATCCTCTTAGAGAACCATCAAAGCTGAGAGTAATACTGGGGAAAAGACATTACAGGAAAGGACATTTTGTGCATTCATTATCTTATTACTGACTATCGCAAGATCCTGATTATTTACAACTTACCTAAGTATTGCCCTCAAAGCCAGGGTTTGGCTCAGTGCATGAAAATCACCCAGGAAATTTATAGGCCCAATCCCTACTGATTCTGTTTCAGTAGGTCTCAATTTCTACACTGTAAGAACACATTTCCCAAGAAAACACAGATGACAGTTTATATACTAATGGTTTCCAAACACACTATGCAGTTTTACCTTGTACAATGGAGCTCTATATTTATTAACAGCTACAAATTTTGTTCTTTTTACAAAAGATGGCTTAATTCTTTATCACCAATTTTTAGACTAAAGTTCTGGTAAAACATACTTCCAAAAAAGATAAATTAGTTTTCCCCCCCTTCTTTTTCTCTCTCTCTCATTCTCATTTTTTATTGAGCATTACTATTCTTATTGATTGTAATTTTTCCATGGTATTATAATGAATTTAAGGCATTATTCCTTTTGATGCTCAAGTGATACTAGCTGCCTTCAATGATCTTTTGACAAGCTCCTGTCAGTTTTAAAGAACTTTCATTGAAATCATTTGCATATTTGACTTCATTCTTAGAATTTTTATTTCTAAAACATTTTTAACTTTTTATATGATCAAATACATATAAGTATTCTTTTATAATTTCTAGATTTTTATTAAGAGCCAAGAATTTCTCCCGTGTCACTAAACCGCAGTCTCCTTGCTTTTCTTGTAAGATTTTTATAACAATCCATCCACAATTTGATTATGTAGTGAATATGGAAGTTGGATTTCATTTTCTCCCAGATGGCTATCTAGTTGTATCAGTATCATTTATTAACTAATTCATCCCTTTCCTCTACATTGGAACTATCACCTTTGTCATATTTAAAAATTTTTTTTTAAAGTATTTTTAATTGATTATGCTATTATAGTTTTTCCAATTTTCCCCCTTTATCCCCATTCCACCCTGCACCCCCCAACTCTCCAGCATTCCCCACCTTAGTTCATGTCTGTGGGTGGTACATAAAAGTTACTTGAATTCCCTGTTTCCTATACCATTTTTGACCTCTCTCCATCTATTTTATACCTACCAATTATGCTTATTCTCTGTACCTCCCCCCACTCCTCTCCTCCCCCTCCCTGTTGAAACCCGTCCATGTGATGTCAATTTCTTTGATTTTGTTACTGTTCTAGTTGTTTGCTTAGTTTTTGGTGTTTTTTTGGGGGTGCGGGTTAATTTGTTGATAGTTGTGAGTTTGTTGTCATTTTACTGTTTGTAGTTTTTTATCTTCTTCAATTTCTTAGATAAGTCCCTTTAACATTTCATATAATAAGGGCTTGGTGATGATGAACTCCTTTAACTTGACCTTATCTGAGAAGTGCTTTATTTGCCCCTCCATTTTAAATGATAGCTTTGCTGGATAGAGTCATCTTGGATGGAGGTCTTTGCCTTTCATGACTTTGAACACTTCTTTCCAGTGCTTTCTTGCCGGTAAGGTTTCTTTTAAGAAATTAGCTGAGGGCCTTGTGGGCACTCCTTTGTAGGTAACTCCCTCCTTTCACCTTGCTGCTTTTAAGATTCTCTGTCTTTAATCTTGGGTAACTTAATGATGATGTGCCTTGGTGTGCTCCTCATTGGGTCCAACTTCTTTAGGACTCTCTGGGCTTCCTGGAAGTCTATTTCCTTCACCCGATTGGGGAAGTTTTCCTTCATTATTTGTTCAAATAAGTTTTCAATTTCTTGCTCTTGTTCTCCTTCTGGCACACCTATAATTCGGAAATTGGAATGTTTAAAGTTGTCCCAGAGGTCCCTAAGCTTCTCCCCATTTTTTTAAATTCTTTTTTCTTCATTCTTCCAGTTGGGTGATTATTTCTCCCCCCTTTTGTTCCAAATCATTGATTTGGTTCTCCCTTTTGTTTGAGGTCCCTAAGCTTCTCTCCATTTTTAAAATTGTTTCTTCATTCTTCCAGTTGGGTGATTATTTCTCCCTTTTGTTTCAAATCATTGGTTTGGTCCTGGTTTCCTTCCTGTCACTGTTGGTTTCCTGAATATTTTGCTTTATTTCACTTTGGATATCTTTCATTTGCTCTTTCATTTTTCAACCAAGCCCCAACAGTTCTGTGAGCATTTTGATTACCAGGGTTTTGAATTCTCCATCAGATAGGTTGGCTATCACCTCATTGCTTAGCTCTCTTTCTGAAGTTTTGCTCTTTTCTTTCATTTGGGCCCTATTTCTTTGTCTCAATGCATCTGTTAAGTTGTAAGGGGGCGGGGCCTTAGGTATTCACCAGGGCAGGGCTACCCTCCTTGCTGCGCAGTGGTGCTGCCTGTAGGGGATGGGCCAGAGAGGAAACAATGCAGCTGGCCTGCTTGGCTCTAGCCTACTTTCCAACAGACTCTCATAGGAGACTGGGGGTTTCTCCCACCATGGCAACCGCTGTAGTCCACAGTCAACTCTGAGTCTCAGTTTCTCACTCAGCCAGCCCTACCCATGTTGTGTGCCACCTCGCTGCGGGTTCTCTCTTCCGCCCATCTTACTGGTCTGGTTGGTCTGGTTGATTGTTTCTTTAATTCCTTGGTTGTCAGAGTTCCATGCAGTTTGACTTTCTGGCACTTCTGGTTGCTTATTGATTTTAGATTGATTGGTATCCTCCTTTTGGTTGTGCAAGGAAGCGAAGAGTTTCTACCTATGCCCCCATCTTGGCCAGAACTCCATATTTTGAATTCTTAATCTGTTGTACTGAGCCTTTGGTGTATTCCTAAACCAATCCCATAGGTCTTTGATTATTAAAATTAATATCTTAATCCTTTTTAAGCCTAGGGTAAAATCAGTTAAGATTTTACACAGATAGTAAAATAACTGTGGCTACTTATCACAGAGCAAGTAAAACTTTGTTATAGTTTTTAACAAAGTATCATAAAAACAATAGCCATGGGGTAATTGACTCAACAGTTAAAGTTTATCTGTAGCTGAAATAAGATAAATAAAATAAAATATTCTTAATTATTTATAACAGTTGAATGTAGAAGTTTTCAAAATATGCCTCTTAAATCAGAAAGAATAGAGCGTTTTCCAAATGATTAAGCATACATGTATAAACAAAACTATTACACTTGGGATAAATATAGACAGATAAACTTATCCAAAACATAAAGAATTCCACTTACTTATTTTTAGATAGAAACAAAAGGATACATACCTGAGCATTGGACTCAGTGAGTGTTTCGGTTCCAACAAGCGATAATTTATTCTGACACTTGATTTAAAAAGTTAAGAAAAACAAGTCATACACTGTAACCCAAAATTTCCTTCCCCTCCCCTCTTACACTTGTCAATGTAATATTCCTCTAAAATAATATACAACTATCTGATGTAAGAAAACAGTTTTTTTTAATTCATCGCTCTATCAGCCAGAAAACATAAAAGACAGCAAACAGACCCCAAGGTGAATACATTCAAAGTAAAAGGGCTTACCAGAATCCATACAGAAAAAAATAAGTACGAGAAACAGGAAATAAGAACAAAACTAGTAGGGTGAATTAGAAGCCAGATAATGGAAAAATGGGGAGTAAGAGGGAAAGCATTATAGAAAAATAACAAGAGAAGTAAGAGGACAGTTAAGATCTTAAGAAAATAAAGTCTCTAGGAGACATTGTTTCTGTGCCATTAATAAAATCTACAACTATTATTAGTGATTATATCTGGAAAAAACTATGGGTAATTTGAATTTTATTTATGGTTACAGTGGACAGTGGAACCTCAGTTTTCAAACTTAATTCATTCCAGAAAACTGTTCAAGAAGTGATTTGTTCGAAAACCAAATATCCTTTGTTACCTGAGAAATGCAAGACTGATTATACAGCAAGAAAGGGCTGTAGGGTAGAAAATTAATACATGAAGTTTTGTTAGACGACCAAGACCTTTTTTCCATGAACAACTTGGTCGAAGAACCAAATGTTAGAAAACCAAAACATTCCAGAACGAAGGTTTGATGTATTTCTATTTACAGTATCTTTTTTTTTTTGAGAATTTTAAAATAAGAGTTTATTTGAGCCAAACCAATGACACAGTCTGTGGAGCAAGATCTCAAATGCTCTAAAAAATGAGTTTTGTAGCTTCTTTTATGTGACTGAATTAAGGAGGGAATGTACTCATACATGGAGGTGGGAGAGAGCAACATGGATACTGCATTACAGGATAGCTAACAAGATTATGTGCTCTCTTTTTTCTTATTTTTTCAATTACAGTTGACATTCAACATTATTTTATATTAGTTTCAGGTGTACAGCACAGTAATTGGACAATCATGTAACACAAAGTGACCCTCCTGATATTTCAAGCACCTACTGACACCATACTTAGTTACTACATTATTACTGACTGTACTCCCCATGCTGTACTTTACATCCTGTGACTACTTTGTTGCTACCAAGTTGCATGTCTTAACCCCATCAGCTTTTTCACCAAACCCCTCAATCCCCAGCAATTCCACTTGTGGATATATATCCAAAGAAACCCAAAACATTAATTTGAAAAGATATGTGTACTCCTATGTTCATTATAGCATCACTTACAACAGCCAACATACAGAAGCAACCCAAGTGCCCCTCAGAAGACAAGTAGATAAAAAGTCTGTAACATACACAGAATGAAATCTTGCCATTTCCAACAGCATAAATGGGCCTAGAGGGATATTATGCTAAGTGAAATAAGTCAGAGAAAGACAAATACCATATAATTTCACTTATTTGTGTTCTCTTGAGGGTGGTTACTTCAAGGGTGTATCAATGTATATGCACTGAAACAATGAACAGAGCTTGCTTAAGGCAAAAATAAACCTTTTACTAATAAGGTTTTTGCCTCAGGCATGACAACCCACCATGATCTGCCCATTTAGGAATTTATGATCAGATGTAGTATCTTAAAACAAAAAAGAATTGAAATTATTTTAAAACTCAAATTTCTATACTGAAAAATATCAAAAGCAAAACAACACCAATTATATATAAAAATTACCTTGAAAATACAGTAAACTATATATAATACCAAGATCTATGTTAAAATGTAACCTAGAAAAAAAGGGAAAAATGCTAATCTGCCCTAATCTGAAACTTTACTAGAAAGAAAAGAATGTGAAAAATGTCTGTGGCCTATATCACATATTGTGCTATTCCAAGTAGAACAAATTTTTATCAAATACTTTAGTGTACCGGAAGTGATTTTATTTCACTAACTCAAAAAATGTACATACATTTCAAAAACAACATTTTCTAAATTAACCCATATTTTCACTCAAACTCCATAATCATGTGTCCTCTCTGCTTCTATTATTCTGTCTCAGGAAATAACTCCAATAACCAACCAATGGCCCAAACCCAGAACCTGAAACTATCCATAAATCCCCCATTTCACAACAATTGTTCTCCAAGTCCTTTTGGTCCCACCTCCATAATATTTCTTGAATCCATTTTTCTCTCTATTTGCAATGACAGGATTAGCCCTTTAGTACTTCTTACCAAGACTATTACTACAGCCTCCTAAGTGCTGTCTACCTATAGTCTCACTCTTCTGCATTCATTTTCTCCAAAATCACCCGAGTAGTTTTCCCAAACTACATATCATGACACTTAATGTTTATAGTCCTTCAATGGCTCCCCATAGTATACACTCAACAAAACCCATCATTTTCTTGGCCTCAATTACTTCTCTGGTCTCACTCCATAGGTCTTCCTTCTCCTAATTTACATAAGTCATAATATGCTACATGGAGTTCTCGAAATTCTCCCAGTCTTTATATATTTCCTTCCTTCTGCTTTTTATATCTCTCCCACTTTCACAAGTTTATTTACCCTTTAGAAATGAATTCAGTCTTTACCTCTTTTAGAACACTATCTTTGATCTCTTCAGTCTAGGTTTAGGACTGCTCTAAAGTATAATCTTTGCACTTCTACAACAATAATTCTAATATCATGGCTATTGCCTCCATTAGATGATACTCTCCTTGAGGGTAGGGACTGCTGTAATTTTTTTTCTTTCTACAGTTTCTCCAGTAGAAAGTTCATTGAATGAATGCTTATAGGTCTAGAAACTACATAAATACTTATCATACAATGTAATGACTTCCAGGAATCAACAAAATTTTCTCTTCCCTAAGTCTATTATTGAAATGGAATTAAGTCTTACAGTAATTAATTGATATATCACTTTAATCCCTTGATACTTACTTCTTCCATATCTTTCCACATTTCTTCACAATGTTTAATAAGTTCTTCTTTACCATCTGTAACATCTTCTACACCTGTAGTACTATCTGGATCTATATCTTGGTTACTCACTGACATGTCCTTTGTGATTTTCTCAGCCTTATAAAAAAACTAAAGTAAAAAATATTTATTCGTTTATTTTTGTTGAACATCTGTTATATGCCGGATACTTATATAGGAGCTAAAGATGTAACAGTGAACAAAATAGGTAAAAATCCCTCCTACAAGGGCACCTACATTCTAGTTAGGAAAACAAAAAATAAGCCACAACATTTTAAAAATACATACTGTAGTATACCCATTGATTTATAAGTGCTATGAAGAAAAGCAAAGCAGGGAAGAAACATAGCAAGTGCTGAGGGAAAGGGCAATTTAGTTTTACATAAGGATGTCAATATAAAGTCACCGAGAAGTTGAGAAACTGAGCAAAAGCATAAAGGAAATAAAAAAGTGAGACATGGTAATACTTAGGAGAAGAGGCTCCAGGTAAAGGGAACTGCAGGTGCAAAGGTGCTGGGGCAAGAATACAACTCCCCTGTTCCTACAGCAGCAAAACAGCCACTGTGACTACAGCAGAAGGTATCAGAGAGTGAACACAAGATAAGGTCAGAGAGATATAAAATAGATGAGATCATGGGGGCTTTAGGCCATTTTAAGGACTTAGGCTAAGATAATAATTAAAGGATTTTGAACAGAGGAGTAACAGGATTTAAATTAAGTTTTAACAGCATAACTGGTTAACTACAGCCAGGTAAGGACAGAAGGAGGAAAGCCAGTTTGAAAGCTAATGCAATAATCCAAGCAAGATGTGGTCCTGGATAATACGGAGGCAGTACCAAATATCCAATTGTGAATATATTTTCTTTTTTAAAATTTAATCTTTATTGTACTTTTTTCCATTACCATTTAGTCCCCTCATACCATCCCCTACCCCAACAATCACCACACTGTTGTCCATGTCCATGAGTCCTTTTTCCTTAAAGCCAACAGGATTTCCTAACAGTCTGTATGGAGAGTGCCAAAGAAAGAGAGGAGTCGATTATTACTAAAAAAGTTTGGACCTGTGCAATTAGAAAGATGAAGTTTCCAATTACTGAAATGGGGAAGATGGCGGAAAAAACAGATTCTGCTAGATGTAGGCAAGTGTCGATAAAGAATTCAGTTTTGCAAACCAAAATGAACTCATAGATTCAGACAAAAGAATGGTGGTTACAAAATGGGAAGAGGGTTGGGGAGAGGGCAAATTGGGTAAAGGATCAAACATATGGTAACAGAAAGAAACTAGCCCTAGCCAGTTGGCTCAGTCGGTTAGAGCACTGTGCCGTGCACTAAAGGTTATGGTTTCAATTCTCTGTCAGGGCACATACCTAGATTGCAGGCTTGATCTGGGTTGGGTCATGTACAAATGGCAACCAATTTATGTTTTTCTTTCTTCTTTCTATAAAATCAATACACATATCCTTAGGTGAGGATTAAAAAGAAGAAAGCTGGACTCTGGATGGTGAGCATGAAATATACAGATATTGAATAATAATGATGTGCACCTAAAATTTATGTTATCAACTAATGTTATTTAAATTATTTTAATTTTTTAAAAAGAATTCTGTTTAGAATTCACTGAATTTCCAGTGTCTATTAGGGGAGCTGCTGATTAGGCAATTGGATATACCTGTCTGAAGTTCAAGGGAAAGTTTCAAATTAGAATTTGAGTCACCACCATACAGCTATTTAAAGCCATGAGGCTGCATGAGATCAGAAGAGCAAGAAAGTACATACAGAAATGAGAAAAGTTCTAGACCTAGAGAGATTAAGGAGATAAGGAAGAACCACCTAATAGTCTGAGAGGGAGTGCCCAGTAAAATGAGAGAAAAATAAAGAGTATGATATCTTGAAATCCAAGATGAGAAAGTGTTCAAGGAGTGAGGAACTGTCAGATAGTAGAAATACGTCAAAATGAAAAGAGATTGACAATTTATTTAGCAATATGGATAGGGCATTGTTTTTCAAAAACAGTCACAGCAATATTTCAGGCTGTCATTCCCCATCCAGAGGCAGAGCCTGTTAACCCTCCCCTTGAACCTGAGTATGACTTTCTGAGCCTTTATAAGTAGAATACAATGGAAGTGATGTTACATGACTTCCAAGACTAAGTCATAAAAGGCAGAATAGCTTATACCTCTCTCTCTTGAACATTCATCCTTGCAACCAAACCACCATGCTGTGAGGAAGCCCAAAGTAAAGAGATCGTATGGAGAAGTGCACACAAAAATGAAAGATTCCATTCAGCTAGCATCAACCACCAAACATGCATGTGCACAAGTTGTCTGATGACTGTAAGTCCCATCTGAATTCTTGTGCACAGAATCACTGAGTACAGTACATGGTTGCTTTAGACCTCTATATTTTGGGGTGATTTGTCACAATAATTTCACTGAAGGCTGTCACAAAAATTAATCCACTGTTAACCTTTATAAGTATAGTTTTAGTAGAATGGTGTGAGGGAAAGCCTGATTGGATTGAAATCAAGAGTAAATAAAAAACAGGGAACTGGACATATCCAGTATGCTTGTATAAAACATTTCAAAAGTTTTTTTTTTCTCTCTCTCTCTAAAGAGAAGGAGAAATAAGGTACCAGTTGGAGGGAGATGTGGGATCAAGAGATTTTTTCTTTCAATATAGGAGAAAATATACCATCTTTATTTGATACAGTAAGAGAAGGAAATGCTGGTGATGCAGGAGAGAAGGAAGAAAAATGGGATCTAGAACACAAGTAGAGAGGATGGCTTGAGACAGATGTACATACAGTTTATTCATTTTAATGGGAAGGTAAGCAGAATATTAGGGACATAGATGCAGGGAGGTGAATAGATGTGTTAGTAGGAGTTTGGTAAAACTGGAAGTTCTATTTGGGTTACTTGCCTTTTCTCAGTGAAATGATGACTAAGGTTATCAGCCATGAATGAGGGTGGAAGAAAAGCACTGGTGGTTTAACAGCAGAAGGGAAAAAATGTATAAAATAGTCATATAAGAGATGAGAGAAGATAAAATAGGATTACCAGGTAGTATTAAAGGCCCACTCGAGGACAGTAGTCATGAATTTAAAGTGAAACTAGAACATGGTTATATGCTTTCCTCTATAGTGTAGCAGCACAGATGCAGGGACAAACTGAAAGAATGACAAAGTCTTCCAGGTATGACCACAGTAGTAAAGAGCTAATGTAAGGTGGAGAATATAATCACTGGAGGAAAGGATGTCGAGAAAAAGAGAGGTCAGCTTATTGAAAGGATCATCTAGACAGATATTAAGATCACCAAGAATTATGACAGTAGTGTTACACAGGGTGACAGTGAGCTAGGAGCTAAAAATCTTCAAGGAATGAAGGAGTGTAATAAAATTTTGCTACACCGCTACAAGGAGAAGTGGTGGGTGGTCAAGTCTGATGGCATAAGATTCAAAGTTGGGTAACTTTCAGGAGGTTGACAAAGCAATAAAGAATGACAAGGATGTTTACTCATAACCAAACGCAAACCAGAGTAACCAAAACTCCCAAAATATTTTTATTCCTATGAACTTGAGTTTTATATTGCTTAATCAATTTTTTTAATCAACAGAGAGGTTTTAAAGACTTAAACAGATATGTTCACAGACTGGAGGGTTCAATATTTTGTAAAGATGGTAATTCCCTCCAAGTTGATCTACTGAATTTTTCAAAATTCTGAGATTTTGTTTGTTTTTATGGCACCTGTCCAGCTAATTCTAAATTTTATATGAAAGTGCAAAGAGCCAAAAACAGACAAGAACTTCATGAAGAACAAAAAGGGAAGATTTGCCTTACCAGATATTAAACTTATTATAAAACTACTAATTATAATAGTGTGCAATTAACACATAGACAGGCAAACTAAACAATGGAACAAATACAAAGCCCTTCTAGATTCACATATTTATAGAGCTAAGATATATGAGAGAGGTGACAATGTAAATTAAGAGGGAAGAACAATCCAAATAGGAGCGTATTTTATTTACTTTACTGCCTTTTTCTTTATATATATGTATTTTGACCCATTGTAGACCCCATCTTTTCTTTTTAACAAACTACATAGTATTTTGGGGGAAAAATTAGCCCAGATATATAACTCGTTCTTTGTATCACTCCTCCATCCCTCAAAAAAAATCAAAACAAAATCATAAAAAAAAGTACAGGGAGAAAACATGGAGATTTTTTCCCTTTATCTTAGATTAGGAAAGGCATTCTAAAAACTAAGCAAAATATCTACACAAAAATTTTAAAAATTCTGAATGACTAAAGATATTACAAAGTTAAAATTTAAAACCCAAAAGCCTATGGAAATATTTATAATATATGGCATGCCATGCCCAATTCAATTATGTATAATGAGTGCCTACAAATTAATACAACAAAACTAACAATCCATCATTTAAAACACTAAAAAAGCAATCACTACAAAAGTCAGGATATCAATTACTTCTGGAAGGTAGAAACAGAGGGAGGGCTGTGATTGGGATGGGCCTGATGGGCAGAATGTTGAGGTGATTATTAAAGTTTTATTTCAGATCTGCATGTTGATAAAGTTGTTTACCTTATAATAACTTATAAACTTTACCTTTATTTATGTGGGATGTTTTGTATTTGTTACTTTATGATACAAAGGTAAACAACAAACAAAACAATACAGCAAAAATGGGCAATGACATAAATGGGAAATTCAAAGAAAAAAACTAACAAACTCCTTTTAAATTAGATAAAAACATTTTTAACCTTACTCATAACTTATAAAAATGGAATTTAAACAAAATTTAATTTTATTTGAACTAGAAATAATGATACATATTTGGTAAGAAACAACATTGGCAAGAGTGTAGACCAAGAGGCGCACATGGTTAGTAGACCAATTTCTTGGTAGAATAATAAACAATATCCATCAAAATTTTAAATGGATTCATCTTTTGACCCAGGAAATTCTGTTCCTAGGAATAATCCTTTAGATAGATGTATTTGCTTAAGTATACATAGGTATGCTTACTGCAGCATTATTTAAAAAATAATTATAAATGTGAATTCTACAGATTATCTAAGGTTAAAACCTGGCTTTGATACTTACAAGCTGTGTGACCTTAGGCAAGTCACTTATCTGTTTGTGCCTCAGTTTCTTTATCTGTAAAATGAAAATGATAATATTACTTAACCCTTAGGGTTTTTCTGACAATTAAATGAGTTACTATGTAAATTTCTTACAACTGCACCTAGTATATACAGAGTATTAGTTATCAATATTGTTATTAGTATTAGTTATCAACAGTACTATTAATAATCTGAATATCAGCTAATAGAAGACTGGTTAAATAACTTATGCCATAACCCAAAATATTTACACTAAATGTCTTCCTTGCTATATATAAAAGATGGGGGGGGGGGCTGGGATGGGAGTAAAAGGCAGAAAACTGTACTTGAACAACAATTAAAAAAAGGATAGTTCACAAAGCCATAAATAGTCGTTAACAATCTTAGAATATTTTGAAGCAAAAAAGTAAAAAAATCATGTTTGTCTTAAATATACCTTCCTTAACTTACAAATTAAGTGCAAAGTGATCTTTCCCCACATTTTATAATACTAATCAATAAAATATATCATCAGAATGCAAAAGTAATGTGAAACTGTGTGCATGTAGGGATAGACAGTCAACAAATTAGTGGGATTGGCAGCTCAAAGTAGCATTAGAATACAAATAAATAAAAGCATTTAAGGGTTAGACTTTCCCCCTTTCCTACATTTTGTGTCTACCTACCTTTCTGGAAACAGAACAAGTCAACCTTTTGTGGTCATTGGTACTAGAATTCCAAATTTCTCATTCAAGAACAATATTGCTATGTTTGGCGATACTATTGTAAAACATCTAATACCAAATTTTAACAACTCATACTATTACCAGAGAGAGACTAATATACATGAAGTACAGTAATAGAAAATACCCACAGAATTCTAAGCTGTATTCATTCATGCAGGGAACATGTTCTTAATGTGTGTCATCTGTCAGAAAATGTGGCAATAGCTGTGAAAAAGTCTGTCTTCACAGAGCTTACATTTTCACTGAGGAGAGAGAATATAAACAAATGGACAACTAAATACCTGGTATGATTTCAGGTAGTGAGAAGTGCTATGTTGTGGTAACTCATGCAATACAGGCTGCAAATATTTCCAGAATTCAGGATAGAAAAGATCAGAGGAAACTGCCTGGAATAAAGTGCTTAGGACAGAGTTGTGTGCACAGTACTAGCTCCCTACCATTATCATTACCAGTCTTAATCTTCATTATTTCAGCCGTGAGGTTTAACAGATGAGAAACTGTAAAGGGGAAAGCTAGATGTGCTGTGGAGATCCTTTCAAGGCATAAAAACCTCAGACAGAAAGACAAGGATAAGCACGGCAATCAGTGAGACACACAAAAAGTGATCTGATTAGAGCAGAAGTCAGAGAAGAAATGATACTTGCTAGGTAGGAGGGGCCAAATAAAGGGAATCTTTAACATTAAAAACAAACAAAAACCTTTAGAAAGCACTTACTATGGGCAATTCCTTCCCTGTATCTGGGGTCCACCTCAAAGCAAAAGTAAAGAGATTAGGTTTGAAACAAGCAACTAGGAAGCTGTTACGTAGGTTTTTAAAACCATTGGTTTAGGGAGGTCATTTTGAAAAATTGTGTTTTTAATGGATTAAAAAATAAGAGGTTAACATGGCAACTTTTATGTTAGATGTTTTTTATTTTTCCCCCACCACAATTACTTTCTTTTTTTTTAAAGAAGAGAGCTGAAGTCCAGAAAGCCGCTAAGAGATGGAAGCCTAGACCAGGGTGAAGGCTGAAGGGTGTGTCACTCGGGTTACTTGGAATGGCTGGGTCTCAACAAATAGTAACAGGCGCTCACCAATTTCTTCAGAGAGTTTGTGAGAGAATCAAGAGGCTTGAGGGAGACCCAGGTGACCGGATCTTTTAATTCCTCACCGCTCCATCTTTCTCTCCTAACCCTGGGGGTTCTAGAGCCGAAGAGCTGGGCTAAAGGCCCGGCAGGACGTCGGCTACCCGCTTTCCCGGAGGTAAGGGTCCCACCGTCGGGGCTGCAGCCCCGTATGTTGGGAACTGTCAGCCCCAAGCGCAAACCGTTACGATGCTCTCGCCTGCCTGTTTCTTACCACTACGGAGTCCCAGACTTCCAGCCGCCTCCGCCCAGCACAGACTAACCTTCCCCACCCCAGACCCGTGCGCGCGCTGCTTGCTGATTGGATCCACCACAGCCAATCCCGGAACTTGCGGCAGCTGACGAGAGAGATGCGCCGCTGCCTTGGGATTGGTTGTCGAGCTGTGTGTGTCGTGCCTTCTCTGACGATTCGAACAACATGGCGGCGGAAGGTAGTAGCGATTCCCAACTTAGACGAAGAAAGCACCGGGATGCGGAGGAACCGGGAAAAGCGGAACTCAAAGAAAGAGAACTGGCAGTGGAAGTAGCAGTGACCCAAGAGAACGAAGAGGATAATGAAGAGCGCTGGGTTGGGCCTTTACCTGTCGAGGCAACATTGGCCAAAAAGAGGAAAGGTAGTTACAGAGATAGGCACAGGGCAAGATGGAATGTTGCGACCCTCGAGTGGGGGAGTTAAAGCCAGACTGAAAACGGATGGTGTTTGTGGACTTTTGTGCCATCAGGACAGAGGGTCGTCATCTTTCTTCTGGCCGCTTTACACTTGTATGTGCTCCCGAAATAGTGATTTTGCCGCAATGCAGCGCCTTTTTGATCATACGAATCACTATTAATCACTGACTTGTTATAGTAGATTCTAGTGCTTACTTAGGCCAATACTTACTGTGTTTCTGACGCCTCTTTTAATCCGTACAGTAGCCATATGAGGCTGGAATATACAATTCTGTTTAGTAGATGTGGTAGAGTACTGGTTCTCTTAGGCTTTTAGTTCAAGAGTAGTGTGGGGACTCAGGGCGGGGCTGTGGAGACGACGGTACCTATTTAGAATCGTCAAGTGTAAGTCAAGATCATTTCAACCCTGACTCTTCCACCAGTGAGTTTTCTAGCCAGGGAACGTAAGTTTCCTGAATCACATTTTTATCTAAAAACATCAGGTCTGTGGTTTTCAAACCATACTCCTTACATACCATGGCATGAAGCATTTTGCCTCTAACGTGGAAGTGTGACAAAATTTTATCAATCAAAAGGAGTAAAGGGATAGATTAAGCTTTCTCTTTTTTATGCTGTTTTATGATCTGTTTTCCTTAAACATGTAAGACCATTAAAATGTGATCTTTTAGAAATTCAAATTGTACTTTATCACTCTCCCTACTTAACTCTTCAGTGATTGCTCATTATTTTCCAAAGTCCAAATTCCCTTTGATGGCATACAAGGCCTTTCATGATAGAATCTATCCTTATCTAACCAGCATATTTCCATACTTTTCTCTCCTAAACTGTTGTTGTTTCTCCTCTGCACGGGCCATACAAAAACACTTGAGCATGGGCCATTGGATAACTCTTGGGGTATCTTGGTGTGACCGTCCACCTCGAATATGTTTACCCTCACCCCGTCACTTGGCTAACTTTTTGTGTGTGTGTTCAGCCTTTAGCACTCAGGTCAGCTGTCACCTACTCCCGGAAGCCTGTGACTTCTCCAGCCTGGGCTAGGTTTCTAAAGTACATAGCTAATAACTCTGAGATAACAGTTATCGCACTGAATTTACAGGTAGCCTTAGTATCCAAAATTTGAAAAAGCTGCTTTTTTGAACTGTGTACACTGACATCCGCAAAGTGCATTACCTTTTTTTACTGCCAGGTCATCCTGACAAGTATTTCTTATTACACTTGCTACATCTTGAAATTGTTTATTTATTCATGTGATTGTCTGATTAATGTTCCTCTCCACTGCTAAGTCTGTGAGCATTTAAGAGCAAGTTTTACTCCATTGCTTTGCGTGTAGCAGCTACTCAATAAGTATTCACTGAATGAATATTATAGTGTTTATGCTCTTGTTTGTTTTATTGAATTAGAATAATCTTGCCTATTTTTTATGGAAATAAGCAGGGGAAAGGGCAAATCTAAAATATCAAAGAGCTGATATTAATGTTAGGAGACAGATCTTAGAATTTTAATATAATTGAGACAGATATGGAAATTATGAGGTGTGAAAAATCTTCACCCTTCATCAGATGCTTATTGCATTTAAGCCAGTAAATAGTGGATTCACTTTGAAAAATATTTAAAGTTTAAAATATATGTGAAATGTTTTTTTAAATATTGATGATTTTATCTAAAAGGATGAGTTTAGTAATATATTTCTGGAAGTGGAACTGCTTCCCTTTAACATGTTCTTTAGATATTGGACTTGCACATATATTTTCAGACAGACATTACAAATGATATGGCACTACCTTTAATTAAACTGATGGATTGTCAAGGACAGGGACTATGTGTTATTCTTCTACATGCCCATATTTTCAATAAGTATCTCTTCAACAAGTGAACTAACCAAAAGCAAAAGGAATGTGTATCAGATAGGATTAAATTTAACTGCATATTACAGAAAACCCCAAAATAACAATAACATTAAAAGAAGTCCCAAGATAGTCTAGAACTGATATGGAAGCTACAAAGGAATGTAGACTATTTGCAGCTTTCTGTCCTAGCATCACTAGGGTATGCTAATTTAAATAAATTGTAAGAGGCCATCAGCCATCTATAAGATGTCTCAGTTTATTTTTAAGGCGTTGAATCCTCTTTGAAGTCACTGCCACCGGGTTTTTCAGAGCTGAGAGAATCCTACAGAATATCCAGTTGAGTGCTTCTGAAGCATTTTCTAGGGGCAAAACATTTGTAAGAGTGGTAATCTGAGGAAATATTGATTCCATTATATGAGCTATAAACAATTTTACTTTAAAAATGACATTAAGTATGTACCTAATAAAAATAATCCAATGTCCTGAGTGGTTACTAGAATTACAGTGCTCATACCCCAGTTCCAAGCTATAGAATTGAGGAAGAGAAGGACACACCCTTTGAAGAAGACTTCTAGACTGTCATACACTTCCACTTTTATCTCATTGGTGTAAGGTTATACCTAACTGCAGGAAAAGGTGAGAAATGTTATCTTAATAGCCTGGATGTTAGTGTGCTCATATAAAAATGTGGGTTCTGTTACTAAAAATTATGGGAAAAGTAGTTCATTGGACATAGCTTTGAGTCTGCTATACAATAGTTATGAAAAAAACTAAAATAGCTTATTTAGCAATTTTTATAGTCATATTTGGACAAATAAAATTGTTGGATTTTTTTCTTTTGCATTTTGAGGGAGTCATCGTCGATCAGTATTCGATTATTTTTATTAGGTACATAATGTCATTTTTAAAGTAAAATTGTAAAGTAAAATTAACACTAGTAGTTGGATCTATGTGGTTAGGAAGATGTTTTCATGAAGCTTCTTAAGGTTTTTGGTTTTATACTTGAATGGAACCTTCATATTAAACCAGCCATTCATTTCCTAAGTTCTGGAGACAGTTAAGCATCTATATAATATCTGAGAACTTGTGACTGCCTAAATGATAAGGCCGTTTAGTACTGTGCAGTATTAAGTTACAACTGACACAAAAGACTGGATTTTAATTTTCATTACACATGGAATGGACAGAAATTAAAATCTAGATAAAAATACAAAATAGAATTTAGAAAATTTTAAATAAAGAAACTGTAAAATAGCATTTGGTTCCAGTTGTTAAAAATAATTGTTTTCCTCAGTTCTAGAGTTTGAAAGAGTCTATCTTGATAATCTCCCCAGTGCATCCATGTACGAGCGCAGTTACATGCACAGAGATGTTATCACCCATGTGGTCTGCACCAAGTAAGTGTATCACATCTTTTCCAAAATTTTTTCTGAGAAGAATTTTTTTTAAATGCTTCAGTTTTCGACATGGACTTACAGAAGTAACTTTAGGACTTTATAGATTTCTATTCAGTTCCAAAGGTTCTGTGATAGTTTAAGTTAAAGGCCTACATGTTCTTTCCCATATCAAAAAGGAATGCATCCTCTGAGATGGAACTCTTTAGCTTGTGTGTATGTCTTCTGGAAATAAATTCCAAAAGGGGATAAACAAGGTAGCGTCTGAGCTTTCCAGAAGGGTACATTATTTAAAATGAGTAATTTATAGCTGGCTTCTTCAGTACTAATGGGGACAATGGTAAGAACTAAGACATGCTGGAAGTGTTACAGGACCCTGAAAATAAATGAATGGGGATTTGGAAAAGGATAATTATCATAGTAATATTCTACTATACGGTAAGCTCACATTATGTCCAATACTGTTTTCATAAATTATCTCATTTATCTTAAGAACAAGCTGATGAGGTAATAATATAATCTACATTTTATAGGTAAGGAAACAGGTTTAGAGAAGTTAAATGGCAGATGAGGCTGGAGAGAAAAATGCAAAGGGTAAGCCTAGAGAGTTTTCTATTCCTTGTATGGATTTTGAACCTGTAATCAGGAGAATAACATCAGATTTTTCTCTTTTTAGGATTTTATTTATTTATTTCTTTTTAGAGAGAGAGGAAGGGAGGGAAAAGAAAGGGAGAGAAACATTTATGTGTAAGAGAAACATCACTTGGCCACCTCTTACATGCATCCCAGCCACAGATTGAGCCTACAACCCAGGCCTGTGCCCTGACTAGGAATTGAACTGGTGATCTTTCACTTTGTGGGACAATGAGCCACACCAGTCAGGGCACAGGTGAGATTAATGGATTCAAATAGAGCCAGAATGGATAGAGTGAGAGCAGTTACCATATTAGCATAGAAACCTAGATGAGATATGGTGGTTTCAATGATATTGGGAGTGATTATAAAAAGAAGTAGGTGAATTACTTTACTCTTTGGATCAGTCCGTTCTTAATTTCTTGGAAACCATTTAAGATATAAATTTAATTAAAATATCTTTATAATTTATTTATAGAATAATTCTGACCAAACTTTAGCACTTTTTCTAGTCCAAAGTTGTCAGTATATAAAGCAGCATATTGGACTAGAACTGCTGTCACCCTCCCCTCAGTTTTTGTTTTTTTTTTAACCCAGGGCAGCAAGGTGAAAATGATAATAGAAAGATTATGGGCTTTGAAGTTAGGCAGATCTGATATTGAATGCTACTCTTCAGTTTTGGACCTAGGGCAAATATATTTAACATTTTAAAAATATTTC